TAACCCATTACATCAATACATATATTGCCTTACAGTTGAAATTCTCTCATACCCAGCTTAGCTCCGTGCCCTATTCTACTTAACCTCACTAGTATTGCATGCTTTCATAGGGTCCTGCATCCAACTTTCCTTTAACAGTTCACTACCAAGTTTAGCTCTAGTCCACTCAAAGGATCTCAATTTAATCAAGTTTGTAATCTGATCAATAGAAACAGATTCCTTTTGAAAGACTAATTGATTTCTCACTAGCCAGATTGACCATAAACTAGTGAACCAAATCATGCACCATGCTTTCTTTGAATTACCTTTGGAGATCCTGCCCACATGTTGCTGTAAATGGCTCCATCCCACATTTGTTGAAGCGGATTGAAGGCCCCACCACTCGTAGCACGATTGCCAAATTCTCCAGCTCATGTTGCATGTAAAAAAGAGATGGCTAGTAGTTTCCGGGTTATGTCCGCAGAAAACACATGAAAAATCTGAACTAGTTCCTGAGATGCCCCTTTTGATCAAGTTGTCACCTGTAGGTATTTTGTTTTGGAGGGCTTTCCATGCAAATGCTGAAACTTTTAATGGTACCTTGTTATTCCACAGCAATTTGTAGTGCGACAGACTCTGGTTGCTTGTGTTGGTTTTCAGTATGTTATAAGCTGACTTGGTAGAGTAAATTCCTTTTGGATCATGTTTCCATCTCCATTGGTCCGGTTGTCCTTGTTTTAGTTTAATCTCCCTTAGCAATACAATAAGTTCCTGCAAAACAGATTGTTCACACTCCTGTAAGTTCCTACTCCACCTCCACTTCCTCACCCACTGTCCCTCCCTCCATTCCCCCAATTCTTTCACTACCTTGTCCTTATTTTCAGCCAATCTAAATAGCCTGTTGAACTTCTCCTTAAAGGGAACCTCCCCACACCAATTCTCTAACCAAAATGAAGTATCATTGCCTTCCCCTAGGACCTTTTTGAAACCCGTTTGTATCCATCCTTCTTTAAACACTATCTCCCTATCTAATCTCCATATTGCCTTCCACCACTCGGAACTACTTGCTTTCACATCCTTCTTTAAACACTACAAACTTTTTGGTTTGAGGATGTTTTTAATTATCAAATCTCTGTTTCTGTTCCAAAGGAGATTATTGAGTACGTGATTGTTATGGTGTTCAATCTTAGTGATGCTCAATCTCCAGGATATGGCTTTGTTGATGGCATGGGTGTGGTTTTAGGTGGTGTAAGGGTAAATCCAGAGCTTCCCGCTAGAATAGCTACACGGCAGTTACGATGGACTTCCTTGTATCTAGATATATCTCAATCTCCCGGTCCCGAAATAACTGCCTGGAGATACATATCACATCCCGGATATCTTGCTTGGCATCTTGATTGGCATGCCGCGTGGATTCTGCATCGGAACATATAAATACCTCT